CCATCTCTAGAAATTAGTTGAGTTCAAACCAAAACAAAGTGATCTATGTCACAAATACTGGCTTTTATAAAATAGACTCACACCTGTTATCTTTATTGGACATCACAGAGAACCAGAAAGCTGCTTTGGTCTATACTGATTCTTGCATAAGACTCTGGGAGAAAGGGCTTAATGCCAGTGAGTAGCCCTAAGCAATCTTTTTTATGCTAATGTAAGTTATTCACAATTACAGCACATTTGAGAACTCAGTGAGCTGCTGAGGAGATTTCAATATAAGAGAGGTCAAAGGAGAAAAAGTTAAATTACAAAAAGTGTAATTAGAATCCCACCTGACAAAAACCCCACAGAAACTTGGAATCTAAGTCCTTCATTAAAAGAAAGGGTAAAAATAAAAATAAATAAAGCAAGGATATTCTTTGAGAATTAACAAGGAAAATAATGCAATTGAGAAAGAGTATAAAAGACAATTTTCACAGTATGGTTCATAGCATTAGAGTCCACTGATGGTTTTACTGAAAAAAAAAAAAAAAACAGAAAAAAGCAAGTTGAAAAATCACACTGGGAAGAGCACATCACAAACAAAAATCATTACTTAATGGTTCTTTCAGAAATACCTCTATGAATAAAGGAAAGACCTTGACAAGGATTTGGGTTTGTGAATGTTAGTGATCCATAACATTCACATTCATAATTTAATACATTCAATACAACCAACTATTTCTGAGTTCCTGAGACAAAAAACAAGATCAAGTATCACTCCTGATGAAATTATAATAACAGGAATTCAAATGAGTAGATAGCAAACACTTTTCAGTCACTCTCTTTCAGCAGTAACCCCTCGAAACAATAAAAACAAGAATTCCATTAGAAATAAAATTATGACTTCCAAACCACAATGAAGACTGTATGTAGACATAACAATTTTAAGGTTTATTTATTTATTTGAAAGTCAGAGTTACACAGAGAGAGGAGAGGCAGAGGAAGAGGCAGAGAGAGGTCTTCTATCCACTGGTTCACTCCCCAGTTGGCTGCAATGGCCAGAGCTATGCCCATTTGAAGCCAGGAACCAGGAGCTTCTTCCGGTTCTCCCACAGAAGTGCAGAAGCCCAAAGACTTGGGTCATCTTCTACTGCTTTCCCATGCCATAGCAGAGAGCTGGATTGGAAGTGGAGCAGCTGGGTCTCGAACCAGTGCCCCCATATGGGATGCTGGCACTCCACGCAGCGGCTTTACCCGCTATGCCACAGCACAGGCCTGACCTAACAATTTAAAAGCTCAGTAGAACAGAGAACAAACCTGTCTGAAGAGGCCAGTGAGAAGCCAACTTCACCCATAAAAACTGGAAAGGGGAAGTGCCATGGTGTACCAGGTAAAGCTGCCGCCTGCAGTGCCAGCGCCCTATATGGACGCCGGTTCAAGTCCCAGCTGCTCCACTTTCGAACCAGCTCTTTGCTAAGGCCTGGGAAAGTAGTAGATGGCTCAAGTGCTGGGCCCCTGCACTCACTCACATGGAAGACCTGGAAGCTCCTGACTTCAGATCTGCATTTTGAGTCAGTTAGGGAAAATGAGTTGGGTAATGTGAATCCATTTATGTTTAGCTTTTCATTTAATCTTTGTTTTCAGACAAATGGGTCTCTCCATCTTTTGAAACACCTCTTTCTATACTGTTTGTAGGTTCCAGATGGTTCTGAAAGTGAGTGGATGTTAGCTGACGGTATGTTCAGGTTAGATCTAGGAACTCAGGGACCAAGTTAAGTCCCTTCTTTTCACCTTTTTTCAGCTGTTCCCGCCATAGTACCTGGTACCTTAAATTCCTGAGCCTTTCTCCAGGTTTGTTTGTTTGTTTTTTTTTAATCTACTTTTTTATCTTATTTGAAAGGTGGCGTTACAGAGGCAGAGAGAGAAGAGGAGAGGGAGAAAGGTGGAGTTACAGAGATAGAGAGAAGAAGTCTTCCATTCACTGGTTCACTCCCCAAATGGCTGCAGCAGCGACAAGCTTCTTCCAGGTCTCCCACGTGGGTGCAGGGAACCAAGGACTCGGGCCATCCTGTGCTGCTTTCCCAGAAAAATTAGCAGGGAGCTGGGTAAGAAGTGGAGTGCCAGCACCCATAGAGGATGCTGGCACTCCAGGATGGGGCTTTAACCCACTGGAAGATCTCCTTTTAGAGAAAACATCCCGACATTGGAGAATTCACAAAAAACAAAGCCAGCCTGTTACCAAACAGATCACCTAAGATGAAGCCCAAGATAAACCTCACTTGTCACACAAAGCTTCCAATGAGCTTTTCAGTGCCTCTTGTATATGAACGAATGGAAAAAAAGGCCCCAACATGAAAAAGGAAGCACCAAAACAAACAGAAAGCAATAATAAAAAATTCAGAGAAGAGATAATGTCAAAAGCAGAAGAAAAGATTATAGTAAGAGATTACAACCATGAAACAGGATCTTCCAAAAAGGGACAATTAAAGGACTGTTGTGGGTGATCCTGTGAGACTTCCTGCCTAGCCCATGCAGGTTAGCCTGACTGCTGGTAGGCAGCAGGACCCCAGGCACATTCCCCCACCCCCACCCCACCTTCTGTTTAAGGCTATTCAGGTAAACTGCTCCCAGGTGTGGCCCAAGCCCACCTGGGAAGCTACTAGGCTACTTAACCTTCAAGCTGATTGGAGAAGCATAGTGGCGCCAATATCAAATTCATCCTATAGAATTAGTATTGCCCTGAATTAGCTACGCCCCTTCTGCCTGCCCTTTAAAGGGTGTGCTTGACTGTTAATAAAATGGACATGTTCACTGAAACTTGTTTCCAGTGCTTCTTGTCGAAGAACACCCTCGCGTTGCCCCACCATCTCACACCGCATGGGCCTTGAAGGTATGAGCCCGCAGAGTATGTGTATGTGGGGGAGGGGGAGGAGGAGGGGGAGGGGGAGGGGGAGTCTCATGGCAGATTTGTGCTCTTGGTAGACTAAACTTATTTCAGCTGACAGTAAATATTAACTTTCAATGCTCAGTGGTACCTTTCCCAGGCTCACTTCTTTTTCTTTCTCAAGGAGCTCTGGGTTCCTTGCCATGGTAAACACTTAGGACTCAATTCTTAGTCCAACCATAATGAACTTAAGTGTTTTTTTTTTTGGACAGGCAGAGTGGACAGTGAGAGAGAGATACAGAGAGAAAGGTCCTCCTTTTCTGTTGGTTCACCCCCGCAATGGCCACTGCTGCTGGCGTGCTGTGGCCGGTGCACTGCACCGGATCCGAAGGCAGGAGCCAGGTGCTTCTCCTGGTCTCCCATGCAGGCGCAGGGCCCAAGCACCTGGGCCATCCTCCACTGCACTCCCAGGCCACAGCAGAGAGCTGGACAGGAAGAGGAGACCGGGACAGAATCCAGCACCCCTACCAGGACTAGAACCCGGGGTACCGGTGCCGCAGGCAGAGGATCAGCCTATTGAGCTGCGGCGCCAGCCCTTAAGTGTTCTTTTAACATGTTACCACATGTGATTTTCTTCAGCCCAGCATACCCATCCATCATGAAAACTACTAATCCCTGCAAACTGAGAAGACAATGCACATTCCTCTTTGAGAAGAGAGCAGAGAGCTTGGCTTGGCATCATAGATCCCACGTTTATTAAATATGTAATATGGGAAAGTTACCAAACCTTGTAATTGTTTCCTCATCCATTAACAGATTAATAGTATTGACCTCAGAGGCTTGCTAGAGAGTAAATGAGTTACTATGTGTAAATTTCTTAGAATACTTACAACACAGTAAATGTGCAAAAAAGTTTGCTATTATTATTATGAACCATTCTTAGGTGGAACTAAATGCACGTACTTGATTCCATGGAGCCCAGGATATATATTACAGTATTTGCCACATTTCTCTCTATATGAGGACATCTCCTTCCTCAAGACAAGAAACACCTTACAGACAAGGATAATATTTTATTTTCCTTTACATTCTAGAACCCTAGTTAACCCAACCATATTAGTTACAGTACTTAAAAATGCTTAATGAAGTACTGAATTAGTAAGCAAGAATTAAAAAAAAAAATTGGATTAGACTGAAAGCTACCAGAAGGAAATATCAACCAGAAAGACAACAAAGACAGTAGTCAAAAAGGAAGCCATGGTTTATTTCCCAGTGTTTTAGTCCGAGAGGATGAAAGAGGTATGTAAAGAGGTAAATATGCTAAATAAAACACAGCACTGAGGATCACAAAGTCCTGCCTTTATGAAAACTACATTCTACTAGGAAGAATCAGAAGATAAGCAAAATAGATACAATGTTATATAGCAGCAAGTAATAAAAACAAGAATATTAAGGAAAGGTGAGAAACAATTAAGAATTTGTTTTGACTTATGGATAATGAGATCACGTTCATACAGATGTCTAAAAGATATGGAAAACTATGTGGTTGATGCACGGATGAGAAATTGTGCAGATGCGGGAGGATAAAGATCTAGACATGTGAGTTCTCTGTATAAAGTCCCAAGAGCTTAGGAAGGGAATAAACAGGAACTGAAAAAAGCAGAGTATGAACAGAAATATGAAGAGAAAGGAGAGAACAGTAGGGGACAATCATATGGTATATACACAATCAACAAACAGTAGAAGGAAGCAGAAAAGGGCTCAAAGATACTTAGCAGGAGTGCTCACTAAATATTTGCTAAATTATCATTGAATAAAAAAAAAAGCTTTTACTTCCAAGGGGAGTGTTAAGTTTGAGTCATCAACAATATCAAATGCCAGATGAATAAAAAAGCACCAAATAATTTTCTTTTAAATGCAATTTTAATACTAGTATATAATGTAGCTATTTATTAATTGGAAAAAAATTAATAATCATACGTTCTAAGAAGGATAATTTCTTTAGGATCAAGTTGTTTTCAATGTACTTCTGTATAGTACCTGGATATATAAATGTTTCAAGTATGTTTAGTAAATGAAGATTTGCACTCCTGAAACATGACTAAGGTGTAATTTCATGTAGTCCTTAAAGTGTTACCATGGCAGTTCTGGATTGCAGTCATCAATCTGCTCCAAAGTATTGATATCCTTATTGCCAAGTGCTATCTGAAGAGCTATAGCATCATCAACATACCTAGGTGAAGAAGGTTAAGGAAAAATGCCTTTATTAGCAATCAATAATCCAGAAAATGTTTTCTATTGTTACAGAAAACCTTCATGTTTAGGACTCAAATGGGTCCTACTTATTTCTGTACCAATTACTGCAACCATAAACAGTTTGCTAGTCTTTTTGCCCCTACACTACCTGGCCATCGTCTGAAGTCACACCTCAAGTTCTCCTTTCCTCCTTCTTTCAAAGGAGATACAGGGAATGTCCCAGACACAATCTAAGCGATTCAGGGCTCCAGATCAGCCTGAGGGTCTATGGCCAGTAGATACGGGAAGGGCATTCTCTCCTGGTAAACTCATGTGCCCAGTGGTCCTGTTGATAAATCAAGCTGGTTGGTCAGGAGTTCTCTCAAGTGCAACCTTTGGAATGTAGATCATAAGTGACTGACCCTGTGCATGTTCCTGTGAAGTCAAAGTAAATAGCATGGCATGGTGTATGAGTTTCAGGGTTATAAATTCCATGAGCAAGGTAATCAGAACTAACAAAGTACAGATCTTACTATAAAAAGCAAAAAACATTTTGTAAACTATTTACTGAATGTCAAAAATATCATGATAAAAATGACCAAAGAAGGCCCAAATTCAAACATTCTGGTTCAAAAAGGATACAGTCCAGCGTAGCTTAGTGTTTCTGGATCAATGTCATCTTCATAGGCATTCAGAGGGATGAGTTTCCTTCTGATGGGATCAAAAACTAGCTGATAAAGGAAGGTGTTGTTGGCTCGAATAAATCCTTCAGTGTAATCCTCAGGTACTGTTATATTCATCTTGAGATAATGTCCAATTTTCTTGATAACCTAGCAATGGATACAAAAATATTTTTATCTGCAACCAAAGAACAGGGAGCACAGTAACCTAAGACTAATCAGATTACATTAGAGGAACATGAGAAGGGACTGAGAAATCAATTATTTTCACCCACATAAAAAATGTTCTCCACAAACACAACCATGTCATATCACTTAAAATTCTAAGTCTCATAATTTATATTTTCTTTGGTTTTTCCACTGCTACTCCAAAGGACCAATAATTTAGTTATATATCAAGATTATATTCCTAGATGTAACTATAAGGCACATTATTCAGTCTCTTTCACCCCAAAAATAAACAACATACAAAACCTGAGGACTAAAAAACCTAAATACTCTTAGATTTTTACATTTAAGCTGATATGCTATTCTGTTAGAGTCACAAATGCTAAAAGCAGGCAAGATCTTAAATACTTCATACCAAACCCATAGACAAAGGGAAGACTCAGAGAATTGAAGTGATTCTGGAGTCACAGGCTGATCAGAGCACATGGCTCTACTCCTAGGTGGGCCACAATCTTCCAACCTACAGATCTTCCCATTATACTAGACTTCTCTTAGCCCTGAGGACTCATACTTTATATTTCTGAGAATAGAAAATGGGATTTCTGCTCTGCTAAATCTGAGGGCTTAAAGAACTACCCAGGAGGAAAATGAGCTTCTCTAATATACATATATTAAGGTAATAACATCAGAAAAATATATATTAAGGTGATATACAATGTCTCAGTTTATCAGAGGATACATGACACCTGATAGTGAATGCAATTAAATGAAGAAGTAGATCTGAGAATCAAGCAGTCTTTTATCAAGCCATGTTAAAGAAATTTGCTGAAGAATGGGATGGGAGAGGGAGTAGGAGGTGAGATGGGAGTGGGAGTGGGAGGGCGGGAATAGAGGGTAAGAACCACTGTACTCCTAAAAGCTGTACATATGAAATTTGTATTCATTAAATAAAAGCCTTCTAAAAAAAGATATACATGAAGATAAACTAAAAAAAATAAAGAGATATGTATAAATGGATAATACCTGTCATAACATTTGCTTTGGAAAATTGGTTATTTCATAAAGTACACTATTTTGTTAGTTTATAATTGATTTATTAAGTTTAAGTGAATTTAAACAAGCTTTGTTTTAATCACTAATTTGGTAAATATCAAGAGCTATAACCCACACATACAAAAATTATTAACACAAAGAACTTTTAAGAGTATAAAGGGTTGGGGCCGGTGCTGTAGCTCAGCAGGTAAAGCCACCGCCTGCAGTGCCAGCATCCCATGTGGGCACCGGTTTGAGTCTCAGCTGCTCCACTTCCGATCTGGCTCTCTGCTATGGCTGGGAAAGCGGTGGAAGACTGCCCATGTCCTTGGGCCCTTGCACCCACATGGGAGACCTGGAAGAAGCTCCTAGCTCCTGGCTCCCAGCTTCGGATTGGTGCAGCTCCAGCAGTTGCAGCCATCTGGGGAGTGAACCAGCGGATGGAAGACCTCTCTCTCTCTCTCTCTCTCTCTGCCTCTCCTCTCTCTGTGTAACTTTGACTTTCAAGTAAATAAATAAATCTTTAAAAAAAAAAGAGTATAAAGGGATCTTTAGACCTAAAGGTTTGAGAACGATTACTATAAGTAATCTTGAAAATCAACAGTATGAGTTTAACATAATTCAACCCAATACTTTTTTACCTTTTTTATAGTAAACATTTTTAAAAAAAGATTTATATATGTATGTATTTGAGAGGTATAGTTACAGACAGAGAGAGGAAGAGACAGAGAGAAAGGTCTTCCATCTGCTGGTCCATTCCCCAAATGGCAACAATGGCCAGAGCTGAACCCATCCCATGTGGGTCCAGGGGCCCAAGTACTTGGTCCATCCTCTGCTGCTTTCCCAGGCACATTAGCAAGGAGCTGGATCGGAAGTGGAGCAATCAGGACTCGAGACAGCACCCATATGAGATGTTAGCGCCCCAAGTGGAGGCTTAGCCTACTATGCCACAGCACCGTCCCCCACCCCCGAGTAAGCATTTTAAAAATTACTATTCTTGCTGAAAACATGGCTCTTCTAATATTTGCTACTTTCTAGAAGAAAAAGATCCAATGTTTTAGTCATTTGCTCCTTTCAGTAACATAACATAGACAACTGGCATAATAGAGTATTTAAAATCCATACACATTTATCATTAAAGAAATGCTGCAAAAAATGAGTAGGATACCTGGTAATTCACTCTTACCTTTATAATCTCAGGATTATTGGCCAGTCTTAGCACTTATGCCTTTGCTAATCTAATCCCACGCAGTGATGAGTGATAGTCTCAGCCAGAAAGAATACACATGTAACGGAATTTCTCTTCTGTGAATATATCCCCAAGTTGTCTACACATTCCCAGCTGAGCTTGATCAATTTCCAGTCCATTTCCATATTGGTCCATTTTTAAAATCACCTTGAAAAGGGAAACAGTTAATACCTAGAAGGATAACTGCTATTTGTCATTTACCTAGTTCACTACAATACTTTTTTTTTTTCTTTTTTTTTTTTGGACAGGCAGAGTGGACAGTGAGAGAGAGAGAAAGAAAGGTCTTCCTTTGCCGTTGGTTCACCCTCCAATGGCCACCGCGCTGATCCGATGGCAGGAGCCAGGTACTTATCCTGGTCTCCCATGGGGTGCAGGGCCCAAGCACTTGGGCCATCCTCCACTGCCTTCCCGGGCCACAGCAGAGAGCTGGCCTGGAAGAGGGGCAACCGGGATAGAATCCAGCGCCCCGACCGGGACTAGAACCGGGTGTGCTGGCGCCGCAAGGCAGAGGTTTAGCCTAGTGAGCTGCGGCGCCGGCCAGCCACTACAATACTTTTAAGAAATCTGTCTTCACTGTAACAAAGAGTCAAGAAGGCAGGTTAAGAATTACTAAATCTGCAAATAAATTAAACTGAAGCATAGGATTTGACTAGATAAGATTACACAGCCACAATGTGGTTGTCCTGACTCTAGTATAAAGAAATCCCTTTCTGTATTTCTTTTTCCTACCTACATTATAGGGTTGGCATGACAATCAACTGGTGAGACACACAAAAGGCATTTTCTCTTTACCTTCTACTTTGGCATTCTAAAGTAAACCTTTTTCTTAGTATTAAAGTAATATTTATTTATTACTATTATACCCTTAATACTACCATAATAAAGTTCTCCATTAAAAAGTTTTATGATGGGGCCGGCACTATGGCATAGTGGGCTAAGCCTCCGCTTGTAGCACCCAGTAGTTCCTCTTCTGATCCAGCTCTGCTATAGCCTGGGAAAGCAGTAGAAGATGGCCCAAATACTTGGGCCCCTGCACCTGTGTGGGAGACCTGGAAGAAGCTCCTAGTTCCTGGCTTCGGATCGGCCCAATTCCAGCCACTGGGGCCATCTGGGGAGTGAACTAGTGGATAGAAGACCTTTTTCTCTGTCTCCCTCTCTGTGTAACTCTACCTGTCAAATAATAAATAAAATCTTAAAACTAAACATTTTATGCAATTCTATTTTTTTATTATTTTTTATTTTTGACAGGCAGAGTGGACAGTGAGAGAGAGACAGAAAGGTCTTCCTTTTGCCGTTGGTTCACCCTCCAATGGCCGCCACGGCCCGCGCGCTGCAGCCCGTGCACCGCGCTGATCCGATGGCAGGAGCCAGGTACTTCTCCTGGTCTCCCATGGGGTGCAGGGCCCAAGCACTTGGGCCATCCTCCACTGCCTTCCCTGGCCACAGCAGAGAGCTGGCCTGGAAGAGGGGCAACCGGGACAGAATCCAGCGCCCCAACCGGGACTAGAACCCAGTGTGCTGGCGCCGCAAGGCAGAGGATTAGCCTAGTGAGCTGCGACGCCGGCCAAAATCTTAAAACTAAACATTTTATGCAATTCTAAATAACTGCATTGTGTGCCATTAGTAGAGAAGTTGTTTACCTAACCTAAAGAATATGTTATCATTATTAAAAGCTGGCAAATCTACATTTTTTTAAAAGATTTTTATTTATTTGACAGGTAGAGTTACAGACAGTGAGAGACAGAGAAAGGTCTTCCTTCTGTTGGTTCACTCCCCAAATGGCCGCAATGGCTGGAGCTGCACCGATCCAAAGCCAGGAGCCAGGAGCCAGGTGCTTCTTCCCAGTCTCCCACACAGGTGCAGGGGTCCAAGCACTTGGGCCATCTTCTACTGCTATTCCAGCCCATAGCTGAGAGCTGGATTGGAAGAGGAGCAACCGGGACTAGAACTGGTGCCTGTATGGGATGCCAGCGCTGCAGGCAGAGGATTAACCTAGTGTGCCATGGTGCCGCCCCTAGCAAATCTACATTTTACTAAAGAATTCAGATAGAACACTCCAATTTTAAAGGCCTACTGTGATAGTGTCCAGAATATACAAATGCCATGCATTTTTAATTTTTTTTTTATTTTGACAGGCAGAGCGGACAGTGTGAGAGAGAGAGGGACAGAGAAAGATCTTCCTTTTTCTGTTGGTTCACCCCCAAATGGTCGCTACGGCCGGCGGGCTGCACCGATCTGAAGCCAGGAGCCAGGTGTAGGGCGAATCTCGCCAGCCCTGCTCTTCCTCTTCCTGGAAAACCCTGAACCCCAGGAGAGAGACGGGGGAGAACGCGCTGATCGACCCACGCGGGGTCCGTAGGAACCCACCCGTTAGCCTCCGCACAGGTCACTCCCTTCACTTTTCGGAAAGGGCTCTCCTCGCGGCTCCAGGGCAGCGGGACTGGGGCCCGGAAGCCCGCCACAAACGCCCCGCACCCGAGCCACAGCAACCGAAACCGGCACGCAGAACTTGGGCAAACCAGCTGCGGCGCAGCGCCCAAACTCGGCCCCTTTCAATTTGCGCGGGATCCCCCGAGACCCCGCCCAGCGGACGTGACGTTAGCGCGCACGCCGTGGAGCCGGCTCCGCTTCCGGCCGCCCGCGCCCATCTGGTGGTGAAGCCCCAGCCTTGAGAGACGCCATCGGGTGCCGCAGGCGGGAGTCTGTGACTGCTGCGGCCTTCGGAAGGTGCGGGATGAGGTGGCCACTGCGGAAGCACGGAGGGTCGGCGCCCTGGAAGTTGGACATTTTTGCGCTCGCGCTCACGCTGCTGGGAGTTGTAGTTCTCTCCAGACTGCAGCCTCAGTTCTGGGCCGCTGAGGTTTAAAGAGCGCCTCCTCGTGTTTGTGTTAAAGTTAAAAAACCTGGAAAAAGAGCCTCTTCGGAATTAGTCCCTTAGTCTCTTTCACCATCGCCACCTCCCAAGTCCCTCATTTTCTTTGAGTCCAGTCACTTCAGTACAAGTTGTTGCTGGACTCTTCCCTGGTGCAATAGTGTTACTGGTTGAAATCCGCCCTTGCCACTTTAACGCCTGGCATTCTCTTTGACGTAAGTCAGCGAAAATTTTACCTTTAAAACCAAACAATATTTATTGAATTTGGTAGGCAGAGTGACAGAGAGGGCTCCCGTCCTCCGGTTCACCCTCCAGATGCCCACAATGGCTGGAGTAATGGCCAGGTACCAGATCGCTGGAGCCATCGCAGAGCCTTCTGGAGTGAGCATTACTAGGAAATTGGAATCAGGTATGGAACCCAGGCGGCAATATGACACTCCATTTCTTAGCTCCTAGACCAAAAATCTTTAAAAATGCTCCCCCTAAGAATCTTTAGAAATGGACCTATAGTCACAGACTTTAAAGACATTTTGAACTTTGGTGGCCATTTAGAGTTACATTTCCAGTTCTCGTAATGCCCCCAGATCTGGTTGCTGTTTTCTAAGGAATGTCGTGATGAAAAAAATTGAGAAGAACTTTAGGTCAGGCCACAAAGTATGTTCTGGACCCAGAGATCAGCAGGAAGAAGTGAGCACATTGTTAATATTCCCTTGTGACTGCCTTTTCTATGTCTCTCTCATTCTGCTTCTATTAAAGTCCTTTCAAGAGCAGATTAGTATTTGTCATGCCAACATAGTAAATTAAAAATTGTTGAAACGGTGCCACTTTGGGTCTTGTGTTTGAAGGGCTGCCTGGTTTCCAATTCTGGACTTTAGGTGGAGACCAGAAGAGAGAAAAGTTACTGTGTTCATCAGCTTTTTGTTACTCTATAATGAAATACTTGAGGCAGGACAACTTTATAAAGGAAATAGGTTTATATTGGGCCATGTTTCTGAAGGTTCACAGTCTCAGATGGTTCAGCTTCTGGTAGTGGTATTCTTGTCATGAGGTGGGCCAGAGCATCCCATGGCAAGAAACAGGAAGCGTGTGTATCAGTCGGTGTAGGGGAGTTGCATTGTAATGATGGATCTAATAACTTTTGAAAGATCCAAGCTTTAAATAACATAATTTGATTAAGTTTCCACCTTCTTAGTTCCATTAACATAAGATTTTGGGGACTAAATTCCTGAGTTTAGGGGTGCAAATATTCAAACCACGTCAGTTATTGCCCCTTCCTCTTCCAGTGACTGTGGTGGTCCTCACTCTGAGCAGCTTAAAGCAGATTCTAAGGACAAGGGTGAGCAGATAGCAACTATGAAAACTTGAAGAGGAATTTAAATGTGGTTGGCATGTGTTTGTAGAAAAGCAGTTCTTATAGTCATTGGATGACAGGGCTGTAGTAATTGCTTTAATAACTTGTATCCAAGAATATGCCACATATAGGCATATTAAAAAGGAACCTCAAAATCAGAAATGTGCCTATCCTAACCCACACTAAAAATTGTGTTTGTGAGATTTATCTACATTATTAAAAGAATGTAGTCTTTTTTTCTTTTTCATTTCCATGTGGAATTTCATTATATAAATATAATTTCATTTAACTGTTGATAGATACTTGAATTGTGTTTAGTTTTTGGCTAATGTTAATTATGCTTCTATAAATCATCTTGGCACTTTATGTGCATGTAACTTCAACTTCTGCTCTTACTCTTGCCTACTCTATCTTAATCACACTAACCTCTTCGTTATTCCTGAAAAGTCCAGGTACATTACCATCTCTAGGCCTTTGCACATGTTGTTCCTTATTCCTGGGATGCTCTTCCACAAGATATCCATCCACTCTGTTCTTTACTCTCTCAAATCTCTGCTCATAATTCCTTCTCAGCGAATTATTCTCTAACTATGCTATCTTTTTTTTTTTTTTCCTGACAGGCAGAGTGGATAGAGAGAGAGACAGAGAGAAAGTTCTTCCTTTTGCCGTTGGTTCACCCTCCAATGGCTGCCATGGCTGGCGCACCGCGCTGATCTGAAGGCAAGAGCCAGGTGCTTCTCCTGGTCTCCCATGTGGGTGCATGGCCCAAGCACTTGGGCCATCCTCCACTGCCTTCCCGGGCCACAGCAGAGAGCTGGCCTGGAAGAGGGGCAACCAGGAAAGAATCTGGCACCCCGACCGGGACTAGAACCCGGTGTGCCGGCGCCGCTAGGTGGAGGATTATCCTAGTGAGCCGCAGCACCGGCCTAACTATGCTATCTTATTTTGATTATTTTCATTTTATTTAAAAGATAGACACACACACAGAGATTTTCCATTTGCTGATTCATTCTCCCATTGCATGCAACAGCCAGGGTTGGAACAGGCTAGCATCGAGAGCCTGGAACTCTATCTTGGTCTCTTGACATGGGGGACAAGGACTCAAGTATTTGAGATATCATCTGTAGTCTCTCTAATGCACGTTAGGAAGCTGGATGAGAAGTAGAATAGCCAGGACTTGAACCAGGCACTCCAAAATGGCGTGCAGGCAACTTTTTTTGGATAAAGGTTTCTCTGTTTATTTTAAAGGCAGAGTTTGGCAGAAAGAGAGAGAGAGAGAGAGATATCCTTCATCTGCTGGTTCACTCCCTAAATGGCCACAATGGCTGGAGGTGGGCTAGGCCGAAGCAGGAGACTTGTCCCATAACCATGCTATTTTTTTTTTTTTTACAGGCAGAATGGACAGTGAGAGAGAGAGAGAGAGAGAGAGAAAGAAAGAGAGAGAAAGGTCTTCCTTTTGCCGTTGGTTCACCCTCCAATGGCTGCCGGCCGGCGCGCTGCGGCCGGTGCACCGTGCCTATCCGAAAGCAGGAGCCAGGAGCCAGGTGCTTCTCCTGGTCTCCCATGGGGTGCAGGGTCCAAGTACTTGGGCCATCCTCCACTGCCTTCCTGGGCCACAGCAGAGAGCTGACCTGGAAGAGGGGCAACTGGGACAGAATCCGGTGCCCCAACAGGGACTAGAACCCGGTGTGCCGGCACCACAAGGCGGAGGATTAGCCTATTGAGCCACGGCCTAACCATGCTATTTTAAATTACAATTCCTATCTCTACCTGAGGACACAGTTTTCATTTTGCTGATTTGTTGTTCATTATGGTACTCACCATGATTTGACATATTATGTATCTTAGTTACCTATTTGTTGGTGACCATCTCTCTTCCCACTACAATGGAAGCTATATATAAGGGCAGAGATCTTTGTCTGTCATATGCAGTGCTGCCTGGCACATAGGCTGCCGGTAAGCACCGGGTGAATAAATGAATGAATATTGAATTTAGCTAACAGCATGGATCTGAAATAGTCACTGACACATTTAGAGCTTAGACGTTTGGGTAATGTAACTATTTGCAAAGCTGTTTTTACTGTAAAATTAAGCAATTCAAAAGTTATCAACATGAGTATCATTTGAACAACATAGGACATAGGATACAGAACGAATGCTAAGTGGAGGTTCTCATTCTGTACTGTGGATAAAAAATTATTTTAAATGACATCTTTTGTTTTCCTTTGCTAAAAACCTTTCCTGAATTTACACAAAGTGATACTTCTAAAAATATAACTGGCTTTAAAATATACTTTTAGAGAAACTGGCAAAGATATTTGATGAAAATTTTAGAGGATTGAAATATTAGCATCATCTTTACCTATTTATCTGCCTAAACAATAATTAAACTATGAGAGTCCTGAGCTGTAATAATGCGGAACACTTTGCATGTTTCAGGTTTGTTACATATGTTGTATATACTTAAATTATTTTATACCCATAAAAATACTATGAAGTGGGTACATTTGCTATCCCCATTGTACAAAAGAGACAGTTGAAGTACAGTGGGATCTGAACCCAGAGTAATTTAGGTCTAGATTGTGTGCTTTTAACCATTACACTTGAATAGAAGGGGCCTTCAAAAAGTATGGGGAAAGTTCATATTATGAAAAAACTATGCATGGATTTTAGTTTTTTTGCAACCCAAATTAACTGTTAATTCTATTTTCTACAAACTTTTTGTAGTATTCATGTACGTACTTTTCCATCAAGAAGTAGAAATGCTGACATTTTCAAAGTTATCAATTTTTTTTAACTGATCCCTTCTGTCTTGTTTTTAATTTAACTTGGGAAGAGAAAAGAAAGGAGTTATTTTTGTTTATAATGTACTGTGTTTTTGCCTGTGTCACCCCATATAATCCTTTCAGTGAGGATAATTATTACTCCATTTACAGAAGAAAAACTGTAGCCCAGAGAAACAGATCAATTTTTGTAGTCCTAAAGCTACTATATGAATTGATTTAAATGTGATTCAAAGTAGGATGCATCTGACTCCAAGAGCCTATCTTTTCCTCTGTGACCTACAGAGGGAAGAGCTGTTGTTGCCTAGTGAACAGTGAAGATGCAGAGAGGAGGAAGATTCAGTTCTAACTGGCAGCAGGTGTAGTCGGGCTTTGGAATGAAGAAGGCTGTAAATGCAGTCCTACAGATACCTTTTTTGACCTTCAAATTTACTCTTAGGTGAGCTCAAGGTCAATAAATAGAGCAGAGCCTCTGCAACCACAACCAGCCTCTTTGCCTCTTTTTTTTTTTTAGATTTTATTTATTTATTTGAGA